GTTTCGTGAGCCAGCACGTCCGTCGCCACGCCCGCAAGCCTGCCCCCCTGAATGGCAGCAAGCAAGGCATCTTCGTCAACCAGCTCACCGCGTGCGGTATTCACGAGGTAATGGCCGCGCAGCAAGGCGAGTTCTGCCTGCCCGAGGAGGGGCGCAGCTCCATTCACATAAGACGCGCACAAAATAATGATTCGGCTGGCTTCAATCAGTTGCGGCACGCCTGCAAATCGGCTCCAGCCGCTTTTGGCCGTGACGTCTCGCGTATCTACGTAATTGACACCAGCGCCAAATGCCTCGCAATAACTGGCGACCCTGAAACCAACCCGTCCCAAACCAACAATGCCCACACGCTGCCCGTAAAGCTCTTCGCCGCGAAACAGGTCTCGGTCCCAGCCGCCGGCTTCAACGTGTGAAAAGGCACCACGATAGTTGCGCAGAAGGGCAAGTATCAAACCGAACGTGTGCTCGGGCGTTGCCCGGATGGTTTCAAGAAAGACCTGCTCACCCCTCAGGCTGACAACCTTGATGCCATGCGAGGCGATAGCACTTTCGTCTAGGTGAGTAAGGCCAGTAGTTGGACTACAGATATAAAGCAAAGCCGGTGCCTGCGCCAGGAAGTCGGTATCAATATGGTGGGCAAGGCGAACAAAGAGTATCTGCACAGGCTTGAGGAAGGCCTGCAAATTCACACCATCAAACGGAACAACCACATGCCCCATGGCCTGCAGTTCGGCAATGGCGGCAGAGTCAAACCGGTCAGGTTCAAGAATGCCTACCTGCACATGACCGCCCGCAGCAAAATGAGATCGTCAGGCGCATCGACATCAATCGAGTCGAGCTTGGTCATCTCAAGCAGGACAGGCCGGTCACAGACCAGCGAACCAGTCGCCTTGAGGTAGGCTGTGCGGGTGACATAGAGGGCACCGTTGCGAACCATGGCCGGGCCATGCTCCTGCCGCCGAACGCCCTTGTTATGAAGTGGGTTGCGAGGAACCAGTGTGCCATCCGCCTGAGGGTCATACATGACCAGCTCATTGATGTATTCCTCCCGATAGCAGGAAATCAGGGAGTCCGACTGCCCTGCGGCCATGCGCGTCACTGCTTCGGCAATGACGGCGGCATTGCGTATGGGACTGGTCGGCTGAAGCAGCATGACCGCATCATAAGCACCGTCCTGCGGCTCAAGAACTTCAAGTGCATGCAGGACGTAGGCAAGCGCCTTGGCAGTGTCGGTTGCCGCGGCTGCGGGTCGCATAAAGGGAACGTCGGCCCCCAGCGCCCTGGCACGGGTTGCGATTTCGTCATCATCAGTCGAAACAATGCATCTTGCCAACGTGCCATTGCCAAGCAATTGCCTGCCGGTTTCGATTGAATAGGCGATCAGGGGCTTGCCGCATACATCAGCAAGGTTTTTACGAGGAATGCCCTTGGAGCCCCCGCGGGCGGGCACTATTCCCAGGATGCGCATATCGCAACCTTTGCAAAAACCAGTCGCGATGAAACAGACGTTGCGATCGGGATCATGGCTTTACGCCTCCGGGTAGCCGGCGATTTTCTGGGCCAACGGTATCAAGGCCGCAGCCTCAGCCAGCGTCACCAGGCCTGCCGCGCGGTCTCCCGACAGAAACGCCGCATTCTGGTGGTAAACACCAGGCTTAAAGCGGCTGTCAATTTCGTCATCCAGCACCATAGGCTCAAGGTCAAAGCGCCCCTTGCGCATGACCGACAGCTTCTCCATGGGCCTGAAAACGTAGCGGGTGGATTTTGTCATCCATTCAAAACCCCAACGCCCGGGCGCATCCCAATTGGCGTGAAAGGCAAACGGCACACCGCTTGTTGTGTTACCCGACCCGACAAAAATGCTGCCCGCCGGGTGCCACGACAAGCCGCCGGAACGTTGAAAGAGGCTACGCTGCAAGTCAGGTAGGCCCACCGGATGAAAGGCTGTATCGATCACGTGCATGCTGTTGGCCAGAAGCCAGCGGGCCGCGACCTCAGCCGTAGCCCCAGGGCCCTGCGCCGGCATGACTTCGTTGAACTCAAAGAGCACGCTTTCAATGCGTTCGCCAGCATCGCGCATGTGCGCCAATGCACCACGCACTGAGGCATAAAAACGACGGTTGTAAGCAACATGAATTTCTGCGCCGGTTTCAGCTGCACATGCCTGCAGCAACCCACATTCATGTTGGTCCATTGCGCCGGGTTTTTCTATCAGAAGATGCTTGACGCCAGCCCTCATGACTTCAATGGCAGTCGAGCTGAGGGTTTCCACCGGCGAAGCAATAATGACATGGGTAGGACGTACCGCCACAAGTGTGGTCGACAAGTCATCACGCCGCACAAGCACACCACCGACATCACGCTCAATTAGGCGAGGCCGGGATCCCGGCGCCCAGGCCGTTAGCGATTGAGGCGACAGCGCAGACAGCGCGGCGAGATGCGCCGCGCCCATCTTGCCTACACCAATGACCAGACAATGAATCGACATCAACAACCTCAGGTGTATTGGTAAGGTGGGCGTGCGCCACCAGCCTGCAGAATGCGGTCCAAGAGGTCGTGGGTTTTCAAGGCCTGCACAAGGCCGGGCATTTCGATCAAGCCCAGTGCCCAGTCGTGCGTAACCCCATCCATTGCCGGAACAATAACGTTCCCCTCTGTCTTCACTACGTAATCAGCACCGTAACGGTAGTTGGGTAAAGCGCTGCCTTCGTTACGCGAGCTTATTTTCCATCGCATATCTGTGTAGTCGACCTGCGCAAGGAAATGCGAACCACGCACGGTCATCAATACGTTTGCGCTACTGCCCGCTTCAAGGCTTGCCATCAGCCGGGCCCTGGGCCCCGTGAGTACAAAATCACCGCCGAAATCCTTAAACTGCGCGCCGCGACCGCTGGCAACCATAGTCTTTGACAGTTCAGACCACGTCACTTCAGGCACCTCATCTCCAGACAGCGACAAGAAAGTGTCGAGGTAATGAATGCCCATGCAACCCAAGCCAATCGCACCCCCATTCAAGGTAACGGTGAACCGATCTTCACGTGCACAAAGCTCGGCCAGTTTTTGCAGATGCGCCCAGTGCCGACGTACAAAGTTGACCTGCGTAATGTCGGCGACACCAGACGTAACTGCAGCCTCATAAAAAGCGCGTACCTCTTCAGGATCCCCCGACATGGGCTTTTCGAGCAGAATGCGGGCAGCTTTTCCATAGGCTAAAAACTGCTTGAAATTTTCCAGGCGGTTGAGGGTAGTTTCCGCAAACACGGCGACGTCAAAGTTACCGCCTGGAATCGCCGTCGCAAAGCTGACCTGGTCTGCAGGAAGGTCAGCCGCAATCAACTCTTTTTTGACAATCTCTTCCAGGCCGTCATTGATGTCATAAGCGGTGACCGAGAAACCGGCACGCACCAAGCCTTTAAGGTGTCGCCTTCCCATAGAGCCGAGCGCTGACAGAAATGCTGTCTTCATAAACTTTCATCCATATAAGTCGGTTCGATTTCTAGCGTCATTTCTTTAATTGTGTCTTTCCACCAATAGGCAGAGAGATTCATGACGCGACATTCCGGTCAAGAAAAGTTCGCGCCCAAAGCTCGAGGTTCACCCATTGCCAGATAAAGAAAGAATTCTCCTGTTTTCCTGAAAGATACAGCTCATATGCCTGCCTGGCTTTTTTCGGGTCTACCCACTCGCGCTCAAGAAAACTTTTGGACTTCAAAATTTCGTTTACCAGGCTATGCCATCCTTGTGCCAGCCACTCCCTCTGCGGAGACTGCACAGAACGTTTGGCCGAAAACGCCACGGCGGCAGATGCACGCTTAGCCAGCAACTTGCGAAACAAAAGTTTCGACCCCTGCGCTCCAAACAGGAATTTCTCAGGGATACCAAAACCAAACTCGACAAGACGGTGGTCCAAAAAGGGAACCCGTAACTCCCGGGAATGCGCCATTGACACCCGGTCGTTAAACCGCAAGCCACGGGGAATCTTGGCCCGCAGCAGGTCATCTGCTGCCGCCTGTCGAGCCGGACTGGAAAACCTTGACTGCGAAGGACCAACGTGAGGCGTGCATGCGCGTAATTGCGCGGTAATGGCTTGGGGGCACAGACCATCTGTTCCGTCGATTGATGCGCCGGCCCGAACTTCTTTCGGACGTTCTTTCCAGAATGCCTCAAAGTCATTGGACAAGAGCTGACGCTCAACTGGCGATGCGGCGCTCGCCACATAAATCTGGTGATAGCGCTTGTACCCCAAAAAAACCTCATCAACGCCATTGCCATCAAGCAATACGGTTACGTCTTCTTCCTGAGCCATCTTGTAAAGCGCGTTGTACCCACACACAGTCACGCCTCCAAAAGGCTCCGCCTGGGACTTTACAGTTTGAGGTAAATAGGCGTTGATTTTTTGCAAATTCAGATTTGCAACGTGCAAGGTGCCTCCCTGGGAAACCTCCTTAACCCATGGGAGCTCGCTGTAGCCTTCGTAATCCTGCGTGAAAAGATGTGCATGACCAAGCTCTGCCAGAGTGGTTCGAACCAGCATTGAAGAGTCAACACCGCCTGAAACATTGAGTCCAACAGCGACATCAGAAACCAAGTGTGAGCGCACGGCTTGTACTATCAGCTCTTCGGTTCGGTCGAGTAATTCGCTCTCAGATGCGCCAGACAGATCAGGGATGTGCTCGACAAGGTTGTACCACTGCCGCGCCGATACCGCACCTGTTTTTAGATTGACCACTTCCAGACTGGCTGGCGCGACTGATTCAACGCCCGAGAAAAAAGTATGCACGCCGTGGTCGTAAAGCCCGTCCTGCAGATACGTCAACACCGTGGAATTGTCGGCCTGAATATTCGGCAGAAATCGCAGCAGCGGCGGAATTTCGCTTGCAAAGAAAAACGCTTCACCCACTTTCACCCGATAAAGTGGCTTGATGCCAAAGCGATCTCGAACCAGTGTCAACTCACCCTGTTGCGAATCATGGATGGCAAAAGCAAACATGCCCACCAGTTTGTCGAGGCATGCAGCTCCCCACAAAGACCATGCAGCCATGAGAACCTCGGTATCGCCCCGGGTTCGCCACGACCAACGATCACCGATTTCGTCACGCAGCTCCAGATAGTTATAAATTTCACCATTGAAGACCATCGCCCAACGCTCACAAGGCGAAACAAAGGGCTGGTTTGCACCATCGGAAGTGTCAATAATCTTCAGTCGGGCATGCCCGAGATAGAGGCGGTGGTTATCGCGCCAGACAGTTGCCTGTGCATCCGGACCACGGTGGTGAAGATCCGCAAGTGCCGCCTTCAATGGCGCATCAGTCAGACCGGCTGGATCCCATGCGACGATCAACCCACACACTATCGTTCCTCGACCAAAAATTGGCCTTGATTCCAGCGCGCGCCGCGATACGTGCCCTTCGTCAGGGCTTCAAGGCAAAGCGCGATCTGTCGGGCACGAGCCTGAAGGGAATGGTTACTGGCGGTGACTTTACGACCAGCCACTGCGATATCATGCCCGGCCCCTGTGCTGATGAGTTCTTGCAGAAACCCAGGCAACTCCTCGGGTTCGACAGAATGATAATGAACGCCGTCTATATAGCCCAGCTCGTCATAGCCTGTGCAAGGGCTGCACAACATCAGAGCACCCGCCGCCGGGATCTCAAAAAACTTTCGAACAGGCAACCCAAAACCACCACGGGCCGTGTAGACATAACGGGACGTCTTTAACGTGCGCTGAAAGAACTGGTTGTACAGGTGCAGCCCCCAGGGAGTTCCATAGACCGGCATTCCAAGCCGATTCATCACCTGATACAGATAGAAATACCATTTGGATGCCATTCGAACGCCGGACCGCCGAAGCGCCATATTGGCCTCTTTTCGCAAATGATATTCGACGCCAGGGACCGCCACCACAGGTCGCCGCGAATGAATAGGCGCAAAGGAAAATTCCGAAGGCACAACATAATGAAGCGCTGTGATGACACGCTCGGGATGGGCATGAAGAAAATCAAACCAGCAGTCTGATAACCGGGCTTTCTTTCGCCGATAGTGTTTTTCCTGTGTGACAAAGGCAGGAAGTTCCGCAAGGGGCCGCACAAATTGCTCATTGGGACCGATCAGGGTCAAATTCAAATCCTGCAGCCGCTGAACTTGAGCAGCAGTCGCTCCGTAGTAATCAAAGTTCAACGAGGTGGCGACGCGACGCTCGATCTCGACCTCGGGCAATACCGCAAACAGATCCTTGATAAATGCAACGATGTGCTCGTCTTTATGCGCAGTCGCTGTGCTTCGGCGCATATAGGCCAATGTGCCGGGAATCACATCATCAATATTTTCGACCAACACGGGCGAGTTGGGCCCGATGATGATCATTTCATACGGACCTGTTTCGCGGATCCAGTTCAACAGGCCTTTAGCCAAAAGATCAGGCGAACTGAAACCGGGGCCGTAAAAGGATACGTTCGGTATAGCAGCCTCGATCAACTGCGGAAAGTAGGTTGCAGTTGGGTTCAGGTGGACAAGATCAATGTCGACGTAAAGCGCGCGAATCATTGA